AACCCATTTCCTGTTTTAGAACGTACCCTGGACCCTCCCCTCCGACGATTTCGCCTGTACAACTTTTGCCTACGCTATCGCATGCAAATTGCCTAAGTCATCCTTACTTACAACATGGCTACAACTGTTTGGTAACACGCCACAGTTGTAGCCATGTTGTAAGGATGACTTAGAAATGTTGCATGCGATAGTTTAAGGTAAAAGTTGTCCTGTGTAAATCGGACTTTAAAGTAGTTTGTACATATTTTATAAAACTGTAACACCTCCCCTCTTTGAACCTGATTTGTGCATATTTTGCAACCCCCTGACCCCTCCCCTCTTAAAAATTAATTTGCTCATATTTCAGTCTACTTACGCATTCATTGACTCCATACAAAGACTCTTGACGAGGCAGCCTTTCTTGTGGGAGAAAACATCAAACGAATGCTTGCCGTGATAAGCACCCATACCACTACCTCCAACACCACCAAATGGCAATGACTCAACTGTAAGTTAAAACATTGTATATTTATTACAATATTGACAATAAGCCTGATTGTCCCATCACGTGTGGAAATAAGTTCCATTTTCCGGTTTCCAAAAGCGAAAAAAAATGAGAATTTTAGGCACAATACTCCATTTTCACATTCAAAGCGAATAACCGCTGTTTTGTTTGACAACAGATTCTTTTGTAGAGACATTACCACACATAAAAGAGAGCACGGAAAAATGTCATTAATAGCCTTGAAAGTCTACGTTTTCTACGGAATTGAGACTAACCCGGCATTACCAAAAGTTCTAAGGTTTAAGCATTGGCCATAAAATGGCCTCAACTTCAAAGTGTTGTTAAGGCTATGGTAATTACACCATTTTCTCTTGCTCTATTTTGTACACTGTAAATTCTATAGAGTTATTCAACTCCTCCAAGGAGTTAAACAATTCTCTCCAAAGGAGTAGATTGGAAGTAATTTTCGAGGAGTCAGTAAAATAACTCCTAAAACGGAGTTAAAACAATTCGAAAATGACAAGGAGTTAAACTAACTCCATGTTTGGAGTACAACGAAAAGGAGTTAAAACAACTCCAGCAACGGAATTAAAACAACTCTCTGAAAATGACAAGGAGTTAAACTGACTCGGTGTTTGGAGTAATACGAAAAGGAGTTAAATAAAAACTCTCTGGAAATGACAAGGAGTTGAAACTCTGGAAATGACAAGGAGTTGAAACTATACTCTCAAAATGAAGGAGTTAAATTTACTCGTCATTGGAAAGTGAGTCAAGAGGTCTTTACGCAAAAGGGATCAATCTGTTGTCAAATGAAACAGCGCTCATTCATTTTGAATACGAAAACGGAGTATTGAGGCTAAGGCTAGAATAAAATTTTGAAACCCCAGTATTCTGTGTGAGTTATATTTTCCCGTACCTGCTGCTTGAACTACAGTGTCGTTTGCACAAAATCCTCCTGAAGACGTGTTTTCCATGATATAGTTAATCTTTTCCTTGTTTGTTGAAAAAATATAAAGCGCAAGAGGCTTATCTCTGTCGTTRATAAACTCAAYAGCTTCATCAAGGCTGTTGACATTGAGWATTGGTAGAATAGGTCCAAAAATCTAAAACAAAGGATAAAAAGCATTGGAGAAAAAAAATAGATAAACAGATCTTAAAGGTTCACGTGCACCCAAGAACCTTTGCGTGATTCTCTCACAATTGAAGAACCGACATCTTTGATTTATTGGGCCCATGCACATGAAAGCGTTTTTCAGTTTGATGATTACCTCACTTTCCATAACAGGATCTGATGGTTTAATCCCTGTGAGTACTGTAGGACTAATAAACCTGTCTTTTTCATCGGTCTCTCCACCAATCACACACTCTCCATGGGATAACAACTTCTTTAGACGTCTACAAAAATATATTT